CTAACTCTCCACCCTCACATTGGCTTTGTCACTGCTCTTTATCCAGAGAGAGGTATGTTTCCTCTTCAACTTAAAAATTGTCCAAAAAATGCCCTCATTTCCTCCAAAAGAAATAAACACAGGCAAAGGTCAGAGGGATGCATTCCATGGAAGCTGCCCATAGGAGAGCAAAGTGCAAGGCAGATGGCCTGGACCAGAGAGTGCCTTCCTGTCAGTCCTGAGCATCTGGGGTCTTATCCCCCGGCTCTACACTCCCAAGGAAAAGTGAGTCTCTCTCTGCTGCAGTTCCCATCCCCACAGCTCTAAGGAACATTCTGGCCTGGCATGTGTGCATTTTCATGCTCTATTAATGCCAAAAAGCATAGACATTCCTGCAGGAATTCTTTTTGCAATCAAAGGCAAACTGTCTGCCATGTGCCTTGTTTGTGGGTGTTAGACCCCTCCAGAAGGAAGCAGCATCCTTCACCCTTTCCGTCCCATTTCTCGATTTCTCCCACTGCTTTCCCATAGTTCTGTGGCCATTTGCTTGCTTGTCATTTTCTGACTCTTGCCTTGTGAGCAGATTCACATCTGTCCATTCTACCCTTTATAATCTACTTTTTCTAGGGCTACTATGTACATGCTTCTAAAATTTAAATAAGAGTCCCTGGCTTTCTTCTTTTAAAACACATACACAAGTATGAAGCATGATTATGTGGCCAGAACCCATATCTCACTCATTTGTTAATTAATTCATCAATCTAAATATTCAATGAATGAGCAAGTGCTAGGAGCTTTAACTCATAGATGGGAAAACATTCAGGATAGAGAAGGGAAGTTAGGAATGAGAAGAGAGTGGGATGGGATGGAGGTGTCTCTTTGTATGTATTTTGTGTTAATAAAAGATGCCAAAAATATTTTTTAAATTAGGAAATCAGCCGGTGGATCTTATTTCAAAAATTCCCATCTTAAGGTAATTATCAAAACAAGGGCCAGTGGCGGCTGCACACGCCTATAATCCCAGTGGCTTGGGAGGCTAGGCTAAGGCAGGATGATCAAGTGTTCAAAGCCAGACTCAGCAATGGTGAGGTGCTAAGTAATTCAGTGAGACCCTGTCACTAAATAAAATACAAAATAGGGTTGGGGATGTGGCTCAGTGGTGGAGTGCCCCTGAATTCAATCCCTGGTACCCCTCCCACCCAAAAAAAGATAATTATCCAAACAAAATCCTTTAAAAAAGGCTCTGTATTTTAGTTTGGTCCCAGGCTGGTAACTAAAATGGGAACTTGGATCAGTGAAGGCAGACATAAATCTTGTCTTATTTATTATTATATTCCCTTACCCCATGTAGAACCATGCCTTGGACATAGCAGGCTTATAGTAAAATATTTTTTTAAACTTATTTGCCAGTGTGAACTTTGTATAATGAAACTATATGTGGAAATGTGACTAATTTCTGCAAGTTTGCAAGAAAGAATGACAAACTTTCAGTTAAATTTTAACTCTTCTTTTTTATTAGTTGCTCAAAACATTACAATGATCTTGACATATCATACATTTGATTCAAATGGGGTACGTAATCTTATTTTTCCACATGTACAAATTGCAGGATCACATTGGTTATACAGCCACGTTTATACACAGGTCCATACTAGTGTCTATTGTATTATGCTACCCTTCCTATCCCCCCTCCCCTCCCCTCCCCTCCCATCACCTCTTTCTACCCAATCTACTGTGACAGGTTTCTCTCTCTCTTTTTTTCTTCCCCCTCACACCATCTTATATGTAATTTTGCATAACAATGAGGGTCTCCTACCATCTTCTGTGCAATTCCCCTTCTCTCTCCCATTCCCATGACTCAAATAAATTTTAATTCTTTCTTAATTCTGAGGTAGGATATTCTTCAAAAAACACTATGTCCAAGACCATATAATATTGAATTTTTTTAAAGCATGATTCTCTTTTTTTTTGTACTACTTCTTTCACACAGAATTCCACTGATATTGTGGTGAAACATGATAATGATTTGGTGAGTGAACATTTCATCTTGAGGTTTGAGGTGGAGATAATCTCTGGAGGAACCAAGCAATTGGGTGTGTTTCTGTTTATACTGTGAAGCATAAGGTATGGGCCTCTGTAGTAAGTTTCTGGCCTATTTATTATATAAAAAGAGTTCCATACCTTACATCAGATATAGCATGGTAGTCTTGTGCATAGTTAAAAATATTAGTATTTCACAAGATGGTCCATATCTTGGGAACATAAACTGAGAGGCATCTAAGGACAACATCCCTTCATGTAAGAAACTCTGCCAGGCCTATTTGTTACTTTCCACAGTGATAAAATAAAGTTTCTTCATGTAGACTCAACTACTCTCTCACATCTCAATTCTTTCTTTATAATTATTTAAGTTACCCAGGCCCTTTACTGTAAGTTACTACTATTTGTATATATAAAATCATTAAAGGAGGTTATTTCTAGAAAATCTCAGCTCTGCCATTTGTCCAATGATGGTCAGGCATTAAATATAAGAAGATGATGCTGTCACACAGAAATATTCTTGAAGATTTTTTTAGAAGAGTGCCAATGGACTTGTACTAGCTAGCCCACCTAATGAGAGCTTCCTTCAGGTATTTCATTGAATATTTAATTGCTTGGTATCTAACAGTGAGTAAATCTGAACAAAAGACACCACCTCAATAGCCCTTGGCCTTTGCTCACCAAGAATGCATATCCGTATGTTTGTCAAGGTTTGTAGGTACTGTTGGTGACCAGATTGGATGCAACTATATTGAAAGGGAACCTAAACAGCAATTCCTGATGTTCCCTATGGCCAGACTACTTCTTCTCCTGATCTTCCTATGGCTGTCTTCTCATCTATTAGGTGATAAGTTAATGGTCCACCTCCTTCAGTGGGTTCTCCTGGATTGCTCCCTCTGGTATTGCCAACAACAGTCATTACATCAAATGACCCTGCTCTCTTTGCTCAGAAACAAGTTGTACCTATAACTGGTGTCTTTGTCCCCTTGCTTATTACCTTCTCCCATTCTAGACTATAAGCTTCACAAGAGGAGGCAAGTCCTAGGGCGGCTTCTCACTGTCGACTCCTACACTTAGTTCAGTGCCTGGTTCAGACATTGCATGAACAAATGAACCTTGGTGTCATGATGGTACTCGAAAATAGCCTTGTTCAAGACAATGGTAAGGTGAGCCACATATTTAATATTAAGTTTTCTAGTAGCCACGTTAAGAAAGTAAAAAAGAAACAGGTGAAGCTAATTGTAGTCACACATTTCATTTAATTCTATGTGTCTAAATTATTGTCATTTCAGCATATAATCAATTTAGGGAATTTTAATAATATGTTGTACATTATTTCCTAAAATTTACAGTTGAAGGTATATATTGACATATCCAAATTGCTCCAAACACATTTAAAATTTCTCCAAGAACCAAATTGGAGATCATTTTTTATGTTCTTACTGAATGAAATTCAGTTTCATAATCACACCAACCACACTGCAAGTGTTTAAGCCACATGTGACTAGAGACACAAGTCTTGGATGGTTCATCTCTAAAACAACATGGTTAAATAGTAGTGTTACAACACATGTGGTAAATATTCAAACATGATAATCATTTAAGATTGGTCTGAAGCACCTTGTTACTACATACCAGGAATCAACATTTTTGCTAAAAAGAAAACTATAATTAATTTAGAACATTATCAAATTATTCCTTTACTAAAATAGTTATATTTATTTACTTCACATTTTAAAGAGCTTATTGAATGAGTAACAGCTTAATCTCTATCATGAACTACCATGAACTGAACATCACCAGTCTATGGATCTATGCAACAGACCCTAATGGATGAATGTGATTATCATGCCATTAAAAAGATAGCAGTTAAAAAAATTATCATTGTAATTTAACTTTATTTAACTTACATTCCTACAGAAAATACTATTATTTACAGAATTCCTTGTCCCAAACCTTTCTGTGAAGCCCCAGGGTATGGACACTGGCTCACAAGTCAATCACGTGCTCTGCATGTTCTGCTTAGTGAGATTCATGGGGTCAGAACTCATCTCTCCACAATGTCCTAAAATCTAGATATGTTCATAGGAGACTGTAGTACATGTGAAAATCTTCCATTATGCTGGTATGGGGTGAGAAGATTGAAAATCACTTTCGAAAAGTAATTTCACAGGTCAGTCATCATGTAAATGAAAAAAAGGTTTTGATAGCTTGTGACAACATCATTTCTGAACACTCAAATTAAACAGTATCATCTAGAATGGGTTACATTTGGAGTATTTACTATAGTTCAGGAACAGAATGAAGAGTATATCTTTAATTTGAGCCTATTTTTAAAGGAGTCCTTAGAATTCAACACCATGTTGTCATTACGGGGTGGAAAGACTAAGAGGTTAAATTCTTATTTTAACAAAATCTACAATCTGGATTCCTGGTGGATTAAATGCTCTTTATATTCATATAAAACATTTGAAATTAGAAATCTGGGGTACTTTTAAATGTCAGTATTTATTTTGTTTTAATTGCCAGGTTTGTTCTGAGACAGTTCTGTCACAAAGAGACTGCAATTGTTTAAGAATCTCCTAGGTAGTTTTTAATGTTCCTCCATTCAAAAGAACCACATAATTGCAATTTTAATAAAATGAGAACTCAAGAAAAGAGGGTCAAAGTTCACCCCAAGATAATTGTTCCACTCCGCAATGGGTAAATATGTATGGAAATAATAGGGGGAAGTTCAAGCCACTGAGCATTAAACAGGCAAAGCAGGAACATTTAAAATATTCTGTTCGTTGTTAAAAATAATTTGTACTCCCAGTCCAATGACCATTTGCCAGGGAGAACTAAAGTTGAGAAATTTCTATTAAAAACATGACTCAGAGGAAAAAATACAGAGGCTGGTAATGAAGGAAACAATCTGATATCCTTCCCAATTGGTTAGTCCTATGATCACATGTTCTGAGCATCTTTAAAAGGGCATCGTCTGGACTCCAGGGGGTCACAGCACCTTCTGAAATCCTGCAGCCTCTTTCTCACCTGGAAGAATACTCCTAGAAACCTGGCAAAATGTGTGATGCTTTTGTAGGTACCTGGAAACTTGTCTCCAGTGAAAACTTTGATGATTACATGAAAGAAGTGGGTAAGTAAATGTGCTGTGGAATGATGGGATTTTTAACTTTTTTTTCTGGGGAGAAAGGGCTTACAGCTGGGTTTTCACCCTGGAAGCACTGGTCTCAAACAAAAATGCTATTTTTCTATACGGAGGCCATACAAGCAGCAAGGTAGAATCTATTTCTAGAAACATTCTCAACCAAAGCTACAACTAAAGCTTCCTAAAGGCGAACCAAAGGGTCTAAATGAAATTTTTTATAATCTATAGAATGCCAAGATTTTACTCTAATTACAAAACTTGAGTGTCTTTGATTTACTTGGCTCTTTGCTTGTTTTTCTTTCATCCTCTCTTGCATATTAAATGTGCAATACCTTAAAAACATATTTCTTTCGTAGCATACAATAATTTCCATTTGAAACTGAAGCCACTGTATTTCTCAGCTTAGCAAATTAAATTTTTTTTAGTAAATGTATGTTAACAAATTATTTTCTTGTCCCAGTGTCAATGCATTAACATATGTAGTTATTTTATTGTAGACAAAAATATTAATTTCAGAAGATATGTTCTGTAAAATATTGAAATACTTTGACTAGAAACAGGATGCCATAGATTATTGAGTAATTCAAAAGGAGAATGTTGTGTATGTGACCTATAGATTTCTAGACTTTGTTAACATTGTCATTATGTTGTGTATGAATGTTCATCAGATAATTATGGCAGGAAAGTAATAAATGTAAATTATAAAAGTACCTTCTCAGTTCACTTTGGCTTTGAAAGCTCTTTCTATCCCAAGCCTCATACATGATAAAGTCAGATCCAGGACTATCAAAATGGGGAGAAATTTTATACAGTATCTTTATTAGGGATTAGAAGTCAATTCCCTAAATCTCAAAAGACTTGACCTTCTCCTCAATTTTATATAAGCAGTTTTTTTTAACTTGTCTGAAACTACTGTTTTTTTTTTTTTCTTGATTATTGATGAGAAGGAAATAAAGAATTTCAGCACAGGAACATCTAACTTTCTAGAATATCAACTAGTTGTGATTCAATATACTAATCAAAATGCACCGATATAGAAATGCCAGGATTGGAAGGCATTTACCCCTCATTTTTTGGAAGCATTTTACACTTTTAATATTCACATATAAATTCTTGTGACACTGCTTAAATTATAAAAGGCTGATAAAGACAATAAGATGCCTCCTGAATGAAGCTGGCTGCTCTAATTGAGGCTGGGTGAACAGGTTTTGTCTTCTGAGCAGTCAAATAAGGAGAGAATGAAACAAGCAGAGATTTTTTTTCCATAGTCGGTCCTTGCAGAATCCCTCTGTGTTGCATCTGTTCTCTCTGCTGATTCAATACAGACGTTTAATGTATTTTGAAACAAAGCTGGGACTTGAAGCAATGTCTCATCTTCCCACTGTGCCACTTTTTGAATAGGCAGCTAAATCTGAGCCTCAGTATTACTTATTTCACATCATATTTCTCTCCCAGTTTCTTCCTCTTTCTAGCCTTTGGTTGCTTTTAATCAAAGAGAGAACCTACATTTATGTGCATGTGTCAAAAAAAAAAATTCAACACATCTATGACTCTCGTGAGTTCTGTATCTGTAGTGATGGCAAGTTACCACAGTTCATATTACGTTGTCATTGTTCACTTCATACTTTATACAAGAAAATACATTACTCTTTTTATATTTAAAAAGTTCATGACTTAGGTGATAAGGAATCAAAATATTGTTTTCATGAGAAACAGTGAAGTCTTTTCTTCCTTTTTCTTTCTTTGCTTTATTATTCATGTTTGCTAGGCAAACACTTTACCACTGAGCTACATACCCAGCCCTAGAAATAGTGATTTATTAAATTTTTATATTTTCACACCCTCAATGCCTAGTCTCTCCTTAAAATTTCCTATAAATTTCTGGCAATTCTATCACCATTATAAAATGATATGTATTTACAGAACATTTTTCCCCCTTTCATAGGAATTAATCCAAATCCTCATTCCATTGGGGAATAATTTGGGAAAGAAGCCCAGAAAATTAGACTTGATAGTAAATGCTAGGAATCGTGACTTTTGTACACTCAAAATAGATGATCTCTTACCTGAATAACCTTATAATAGCCCGCAAAGTCCTATTTAAAATTCTGACTGTGGATTTTTTAATAACATTTTTAAAAGCTAAGAAAGAATGAAGTGGTTCTGTTGCCTCAAGTATTTCCATATTTTATAAATAGAAAATAACGTTAATAGAGATAGATATGTGTCTGTATGTGTGTGTTTGTGTGTGTATGAGCATATATGTGTGTGTGTGTGTGTATATATGTGTGTGTGTGTGTGTGTGTGTGTGTGTGCGTATGCCATAAAACTTAATTTCTATAAATATTTTTGTTGAGAATTAACAGTGGGTCTCCTGAGGAGTTATGTCCAGAACTAGAGAAGGAGAAGCTTAAAGACTAAGCCTCAGAATTTTTATGTTAGCCTAGTGTGCTTATCCTCAGGAACTATTTAAGTGAGGCCTTAAGAAACTTGCGGGTATCTCTTTTCCTCTTTCCTCTGACACCACACTTCTCTGACTTACTGATGTGAGAGAAAGTGTCAACCTTACATTTTTCCTTTCCTAACTGCAGGAGTGGGCTTTGCCACCCGGAAAGTGGCTGGCATGGCCAAACCCAACATGATCATCAGTGTGAATGGAGATGTGATCACCATTAGATCAGAAAGCACCTTTAAAAACACTGAGATTTCCTTCAAACTGGGCCAGGAATTTGATGAAGTCACTGCAGATGACAGGAAAGTCAAGGTGAGGAGCAGGGTATTGGCAGAATGAACACCTGGTTTCTAAATTGCCTTTGCCTGCAAGAAACAGTTTCATAATAAAAGCAGAAGAACTGTTATCTCGTGGGCCAAGATCCCTGAATTCCACCATCTATACCATGTTGCCTTCAATAAGTAGTTGGTAAATTTTTCCCCTTTTTACTAAGTGGACCTCATATTTTTTTAAAAAAATGATTAACATAATTTATAAGTCACATAATACATAGAATATTTGAAAGGAATTAAAGTAATAAAACATGTTAGAAAAAGCTTATATAAGAATGGAAGAGATAAAGAAAAAAATCACCTATAATCTTACCATCTCAGTATAAATTTATGATCTATATTCTTCCACAATATTTTTTTCAAATGCAATTTTGCATAGTATAGTCACACACACATACACACATACACACACATACACACACACACACACACATACAATATATTTTATGCTGTTATTTTTTAAAAATACTTATTTTTTAGTTGTAGTTGGACACAATACCTTTATTTTATTTATTTTTTTATGTGGTGCTGAGGATCAAACCCAGGGCCTTGCATGTGCCAGGCAAGAGCTCTACCGCTGAGTCACAATCCCAGTCCTATGCTGTTATTTTTAAGACTCACTTTTTGAATACATTCTTCTCATTTAGAATTACTAATGACCTCAAAGTATATCTTTGAAACAGGGTAATATTTTAAAATTCTCTTTTCTGCCTTCCTGTTCAGATTATAATCACTTTTTATTGTGTCTTCAGAGCATCATAACCTTAGATGGGGGTGTCCTGGTTCAGGTGCAGAAGTGGGATGGCAAGTCGACCACCATAAAGAGAAAAAGAGAGGATGATAAGCTGGTGGTGGTGAGTATCTTCTAGGAACTTATTCAAGATTCTACTACTAGGATCTAGAATGTTGTATTTATAAGCAAGGTGAATTTCCTTAAGTAGAATAATGATCATGAAATAACCTAGTAATTTTTATTAGGATTATCTTTCCACCTTGGCTATTTCCCTTTGTGTTTTTTTGTGATACTGGGGATTGAACCCAGGCACTGGTACTCGCTAAGCACACATAACACCATTGAGGCACACCCCAGTCCCTCTGTGCTTTTAAGCTCAGCCCAGGCATGCTATCTCCCAGAAGGCATTTCCTGCCCCCTCTCCGGCACAAAAGCTTGTCTGCAGCTGTGCCCCTACCACAACAAATGTCTTTTGAATGAATATTGCTTCCTTTCTAACATTAAGAAACACCATAATTAAACCCATAGTGTAGTCCCAGTGAGTAACCGAGAATTCATTTTGTTGTGTTTTGCATGTCTAGGAATGTGTCATGAAAGGCGTCACTTCCACCAGAGTTTATGAGAGAGCATAAGCCAAGAGACACAGCGACCTGGACTGAAGTTTGTATCAAACTCCACGACATTCTGTTGGATGAATTGTTCAAAAAGATATTATTATTTTCCCATAATTACCAAGCAACTAATTTTTTCCCGAGCTGGATTTTGCTAAATATGGTTGGTTTGGTTAAATAAAACTTTTTAGATTTAGAAGGTGGTATGATGGATGATATATTTATTGTGCTTTGTAATTTCATTTACTCATAATTGAGTGAAGAAAATAGAACAATTGCATTATTGATTTGTTTCTCATATAAGTCATAAGATCTTTCATAATAATAATGCAAGGTAAAAAAACATTAATATCTGTGAATTTTCTATTTGCCCAGGTAGGAGGCAATATGTACCATGACTGAATATTAGGTCCCTTTCTCAGTATATCTAATTAAGAAACTATCTCTTGGAGACTTAATGTAGTTTTAAATAGAGTAAAATTGTCTATTGTCAGCTGGTATAAATGATTATGTTTCATACCTGCCCTGTCCTGGATCTTTGCAAGTGAGTTGTACATTCTTGTTGCATGTTGTAGAAAAAAATCTTTAGTCTGTAATTTTTAGTCAATGGGTACACATCTATAATCCCAGCGCCTTGGGAGGCTGAGACAAGAGGATTGCAAGTTCAAGGTCAGCCTCAGCAACGTAGTGAGGCACTAAGCAACTCAGTGAGACCCTGTTTCTAAATAAAATACAAAATAGGGATGGAGTTGTGGCTCAGTAGTTGAGTGCCCCTGAGTTCAATCTCCAGTACCCCCCACCCCCCAAAATATTGATGAATCAGGTGTCTTAGTTTTCCATTGCTATAACAAAATTCCCAAGGCTGGTGTTATAAGAAAAAAGTTTAGCTCACAGTTTTGGAGGCTGAATATCCAAGATGAGGTTGTCACATCAATTTAGCCTTTGGTGAGGACCTGATGACAAATTACATCATGGATGGAGTGCATATGAAGAGAGATCATGTAGTGAGACAGAAAGCCAGAGAGCAGGGACAGATCAGTTTTGCTTTTTTATAACAGCCCACTCTTATAGGGTCTATCCAGTATCTCCCTAATTATTTTGGGGAGCTATGTCCCCCATTGACCTAACTAATTTACAGTAGGCTCCACCTCTTAAAGTTGTCACAACATTACCACCACACAGAGAACCAAGTGTCTAGTACATGACCCTTTGTAGGACAAACAACTTCCAAACCATCACAGTCTATTTCTGAAAGCTACAGACTTCAGTGCAAATAATTCCATAGTGTATTCCACAAAAGTGGTGACAGTTTTGTCCATGAGTCATTCACGTCATTGTAGTAGTTTCACATTTATTGTTTTCTTACTAGCAAAACTTTTTATTCAAATATAATCTCCTTGTAATCTCAATATTCAAAACATACAAAGTATACTGAGGTTTCCCAAGTGTGTGTTTGTGTGTGTGTGTGTGTGTGTGTGTGTGTGTTTCTCCTGTGTGCTGTAAAAGCATGAAGCACTTCTACAGATTATACAGATTGGGTTTTCACTTATATAGATCAAAATTTCTAAATCACACAGTTACATTTATAGTAAGACAAAAATCTGTTTAGGTGTATACCATAGGAGACATTATGTTAAGTGAAATAAGTTATACACAGAAAGATGAGTGCCACATATTCTCTCTCCTATGTGAAAGTTAAAGAAAAACAAAAGTCAATCTAATGTAGAATAGTGATTAATGGAGGTTAGGAAGGGAGGCTGGATTCATCAATGAGCATTGTATGCATGTATTGAAGTATCGCATGGAACCTCAGTATGTATAATTACTATGTGTTAATGGAAAATTAAAAATAAAATATATACTGCAGTTGATATCATTCAGTTTGTATGTTCACTTTAAAAATAAGTCCAATTCTGAGTAGCTGTCATATATGTAACACCATGATGTGGACAGAACAGAGAGGTGGACTTGGTCATAAGAGTTTGTTTTCTTCCAAAAACAAAGAGTATGACTGTCAGTTGGGGCTCACTAGAGATGTGGAGGACTTACATAGATATTTGGGAGGGTCGATTAGGATAATTCTTTGTAAACCAATATTTACTAAATGCTAACAATGGTTTAGGCAATCTACATAATTCATGTTATTTATCATCAAAACACTGAGAGAGGATTTCGGTTTTCTGTTTACAAATGAGGTGACCAAAACTCAAAATTTAGTATCATAAAACTAGAAGGCAACTTTTTTTGTTTTATTTTCAATCTGGGGATGTAACCCAGGACTTTATGTGTGCTAGCCAAGCACTCTAGCTGAGCTACATCCCCAATCCCCATAAAACTAAATAGAGAATAGGTCTAGGAATCTAAAATTTAAGAGAGCTATTCTGGATGGAATGTAGATCTGATCATCAGTGTCCAAATGGTAATTTGATTCATAAAATGTGATGAGGTTGATTTTGAGAGGATCCTAAGAAGACAGGGACTAGGAAGCACCAGGAATATACTCCTTACCTAGACAATACTTGCATTGGAAGAATCTGTTTGATGGAACTATTTTGAAACTCTGGAGTCTACTAAATCCTTGCAACATTCAGGGAAAGTCCTGGATGATAAAACTGACATTATTTTTTGTTCATTTCAGCTCCTGCCATAGTAGCAGACACTCACCCTCCATCCCCAGCCCCATGGCACACAGTTTGTAGGAGCCAGGATAGGCAATAAGAACCCTGTGTTTCCCAAACATTGTGCATCTGTGTTTTAATTGATGATGGCTGCTTATGATCACAGATGTGCATTCACAGATGCCAACAGCCACTGTCACACAACCCTCATTGTTGCGAGTCCCTCTCCTTAGACTGAAGCAAGCTCAGGGTTTTTAGAGGATTGGCTCCTCCCCACTTCATTTTCTGATTTTTCCCTTTTGGCAGCCAGTCATTAAACACTAAGACATTCAAAAGAAGCTACAGATGTGGGCAAATGAGAAAGTCACTGTGCATGCCGAGGGAAGGTTCAGAAAAGACCTTAAGTTGGCTCTTCAACCTGATCTTTAGTACAGATAGTGGACAACAACCAAAAGACGAAACTGAACGAAGCAAAACTCAGTTCTTAAAAATCCAAGCATTTCACTTCTGAACATTCCTGCATTAATATAGGAGCTTTTGGGGAACATCTCATACCCAAACCATATTAGAAATGGAGTCAATTTCTCAGCTTTCTCTAAAATGGTTCAGAAAAAAAAAAAAGGCTCTCTGTCAGAGAAGAGGGGGGTGGGAAGAGAAGGAGAAAAGGAGGTGGGGCAAGTGCATTAAAATCTTGAAACCTGGGAATGCCAGGCAAAGAGTGTGCTTTTGGTATTTCTCTTTCAATTTCTTCTTTATAACTTTGAAATTATTTCCAAATTGAAAGGTAACAAAAACCCCCAAATTATTATAAATATGAACTACTACTACAGCAAAAAAATCAACAACAAAAATATAAGGTAGGTGTGGGGTGGGGTGAAGCAATAGAAAGTACCAATTGTCAAAAAAATCCATTCAAAAAATTGTTTACCCATTAATAAAATTTTATACTTAGCTCTTTAGAAAGGAGTTCCTACTTTTATTTTTATTTGTATTTTAAATAACACATAGTAGATAAGAGATGGGCTTATTTTATACTGCAGAAGAAATAAATTGGAAGTTTTCATTTTAAAAATATATTTGCTAAGAATTAATTTGGCATGATTATTTTGAGTAAAATTTATGTTGTAAGCAAGGTAATACAGAAACCAAAACTTAATATAAAAATTCTTCTCAAAGCCTCCAAATGTATAAAAATTATTAAAATGAGGTTTACACAACATGTCATTTATTCTAAGCAAACAGTTTCTCAAACTTCACACCATTTTCTCCAAAGTAGAACATACTAGCAAAATGAGGACTGAATATTTCAACTGCACATCTCACATTTGAACCAGTTATTACCAAAATTAAGTTTCAGAATAACTGTTTTCCATATTGGAGAAGAGAATATCATCTTAAAAAGAAATATTTATAATGCTGAATTACTTTTTAGTTTTTTAGATTAGTATACATTTTGAAATATTATTATTATAAGTATGAACTACATACAAAAAAGGATAATTGAGGGGCTCGAGTTGTAGCTCAGCAGTAGAGCGCTTGCCTCATACATGTAGAGACACTGGGTTCAATTCCTAGCACCACGTAAAAATAAATAAATAAAATAAAGGTCCATCAACAACTAAAAAATAAAATAAAATAAATAGACAATTGAAATTTGAATGATAAACATAGTAACTAAAGTGATATTGAAGAGCAGAGAACTCTGTCACTTGAGAAGGGAGACCCTATAGTAATAATGAGATACCAGAAAAGATGGCAGGGGTCTGGGGATCCATTCATCATCCAAAGACCACCAGCATGAAAGGCGCAGCATAGGGACAGGTCAGGAGAGGACAATATACAAAAACCCTACCTTTAGTCATTGTTATAGAGATTTTTTTAAAAAACAACACTGAGAACGTCTGTATAACACAATGGCATATTACTCAGCCATAAAGAAGAATGAATCATGGCATTTGCTGGTAAATAGATGAAGCTGGAGAATATCATACTAAGTGAAATAAGCCAATTCCAAAAAACTGAAGGCAGAATGTTTTCTCTGATATGTGGATGCTAATTCACAATAAGGGTGGGAGGTTTTAGGGAAGAATAGAAATACACCAGATTAGAGAAAGGCGAATGAAAGGAAAGGAGGGGAAATGGGAATAGGAAAGATAGTAGAATAAATCAGACATTACTATTTTATGTGCGTTACACAACCAAAGTATTTCTACATCATGTACAACCAGAAGAATGAGAAGTTATACTCCGTATACGTATAATATGTCAAAATACATTCTACCAATCATGTGTAACTAATTAGAACAAATTTTAAAAAGTAAAAAAAAAAATGCTTATTTCTTTTGCCACTCATTTGTAAAACATTTATTAAGTATTTATTATTTGTCAGGTACTATCTTAGGGATACACAGATAAATAAGAAGTATCATCCTTTCTGGAGGTACTCACAGAATGGCTCATGAGACAGCTGAGGGAGAATTCATCACACTACTAAGAGGTATGTTCTCCAAAATACTTCTGTTAAAGGCAGAATTGTATCACATAGTAGGGAGCAACCAGCCCTGAATCAGCATCTCAGAGGAGATGTTAGATTTGAATGCTGTGCTCGAAGCCAATGCACGGGACACATGTAATTGGCCGCTGTCAAGTCCAAATTAACCATTTGGTGAAGCTGTTAACAAAGGCATATCAATTATGAAAGCTTAGTCTGCAAACAGCAAACACTCGGGCACAAAACAGTTTAATAATGAAGTTTATGAACTCACATGATAGAACTTCTGGAAATAAAGCAATCCTCAGTTCCTCCCACCTTTCGTCTCTGCCATCATTCATTCTGGCTCTGTCTTTGAGTGGGTATCTCAGTGGATATAGCACTGCAAATATCATATAAGAAAACAAAACATGCAGAGGAAGACTAGCGGTGTCTCTCCTTCTAACTCCCTCTCAGGGATGGGGAACTTGGTAGAAGCCAGAAATTTGACTTTCATTTTCTGTCACATGGGCCAAGTGACTTCTAAAATGAACCATCAGATTGATTTCTGAAATAATCAATGACAGGAGATTCACAACAACAAGGTTGGTTACACCAATGGGAAACTTTGGTTATACTACCCCACTGGCCAACTTGCATAGACATTTATGCTCTTTCAAATAGAGAGTGCATACACTTCTAGAACCGGTCAAGCAAGCTCTAGTAACTTGTTCTCCATGGGAACATCACATCTGAATACATCTTCAACTTCTCAGGCACTTACTTTGAGCCTGAGTCTGTTTCCTGAAATCGACTCTAGGATTTTTACTTACCCTATTTTGTCCTCCAGATATCTTAATAACTCTTCCACCTACAAAGACATAACATACACATCTTTATGTTTTCTTCAAAGGAAATCCTTTATTTTACTAAAGTCCTTGCTCTGTGGTGCCAAATCATTAACCTCTTTTTTGCTTTGTCCACATAAACATCACTTGAACAGATATTTCTCTGACATGGAAGGAATATTTGACACAAAGCAGATAAAAGTGTGAATATCTTTCTTCTGGTCCCTGACTCACTCTCTCTCTCTCTCTCTCTCTCTCTCTCTCTCTGCCTTTTCACTAATTTGAAAACAAATAATGTTCAAAGCTCGGGGATAAAACCCAGCCCTTGGATTTAATTCTTCTTAGTAAACTCAATATCCACAAAGTCTACTTCCATTACTTGGGTTGCCTGAAATGACTTCAGGAGACTATTTGCACAGAGATTAAATTTACTTGCTACCTTTGTTTTTATTTTTAGCATATAGATTTCAAGCACATTTTTCTTCCTAAAACTTCCAAAAATTTACCCTCACAATTTCTTTTTTTTATTGGTTCTCTTTGATTATTTATGACAGCTTTCAATATTACTTTGTAAAACTGAAATACGAATTTTCCAGGAATAGGCTCTACCTTCTTTTTAAGGTTGAAACTGCAAGTCACTACTCAGGGATAATAGTCACCTTTCTTGCCCCATCCTCAATTACCCTTGATTAACAACAATGATAGTATTAATAATGCCCTACCCCTCCCTCCATTAACTAATATCAATACATCAACCCTGCAAGGAAGGGAAGGGATTATTTTAATGAAGAGAATGTTCTGGCACTATGACTTGCCCAAACACGAAACAGCTGATGTAGATGCCCTTGTCTTGGATGGAAAAACATTCCAGGCAGTTGTTCATCAGATATTCATTGGGACACCCCTTCAGGGTAACAGCATTTATTGTTCAAAAGGCTGATCTCTATTGAAAATTGTCTCCATTCCACAAATAGTACTTATCAGGTGACTCGGGTACAAATCTCTTTGCTAGAAGCTGTAATCGTTGACCTGAATTAAACCTCACATGTTAATTTTCTGCCTCTTAATGTGGAGGTAAATAAAGTGACTCAAATGCTGAGTCTTGGTCTTGCTGCTGCTCATTGGCCACACCAGGAGCATCACATGATGAGGACGTTCTTTAAATCAAGCTCCTGGTGGCATTGCAATGCCTGCATTTCGTTGGTTTTCCTGTGTGAGTGGCTCTTCTCAGCTCGCCTTCTGACGATGGAGCCCTTCTTGGGAACCTGGAAACTGGTCTCCAGTGAAAACTTTGAGGATTATATGAAAGAGCTGGGTGAGAAATACCTTTATGGGATGGGGGAAACTAGCAAAGCACTTTGTGATGTGGTTGTGTTTGCACTTTACAATGAATTTTCCTACAATTATCTCTCTTTTGTGATTCTGGGGTATATTCATTTGAGACTAACATAGTTTATGTTCCTACTTATTACTACTACTTTTGCTTTTCCTTAGTATTAGTAATAAATTGTCTTTTTTAAAAATATGAGGTTCATAGATACCTTCAGTCAAAATCCATGGATAAGGCCATTTATCCTTTTGATAATACTTCTTGCTAACCTTTAGATTGAGGATATCTTTTGCTTGGTCACTGTAATGAACAGTTTTTTCCAGTTTCAAATTGATAGACAGTAATCACCATCTATAATTAAACTTATCTCAGAGTTTGCTTTAAGTTATAAATTTTAAAAGGCAGTAGCAACAAATAAAATTTCCAGGCAGTTAATTTTTAGAGTTCTCATTCATTTAAGTGATCTGTAAGACATTACTTTGAAAAATTCCTTTGGTGGGAGAAATAGAACACTTTTACTCATTGAAAGTCTAGTGATGGGATGTTTCTCAGAAGTATAAACCCTACCTATCCTTTCTCTCAAGTTAAATGGTCAAACATCAATTATAATGACTTGGGTCTATAATAGCTGCACAGATTTTTTTTTTTTACGAATGCTAGAAGAATGGTAATTACTTATTTTTTATATTTAATTAAGAGAAATCTCTTTTATGATAAATAACTATGTATGAAGCCAAGAATCTTCTTCAGTTTTTTTTTTCTAACTTGTTTGGAATGATCAGTAGATGCTTACTGTTATTAACAATATGTTTACTCATTCTAGACAATGAAACAACCATGCTTTATCCTGCATAATAAGTTAGTGTGCTTATAAGTGTACTATTTGGCTAGATGTAGTGGCGCACGCCTGTAATCCGAGCAGCTCAGGCAGCTGAGACAGGAGGATCGCGAGTTCAAAGCCCTCTTCAGCAAAAGTGAGGCACTAAGCAACTCAGTGAGACCCTGTCTATAAATAAAATACAAAATAGGGCTGGGGATGTGGCTCAGTGATCAAGTGCCCCGAGTTCAATCCCGTGTACAAAAAAAAAAAAAAAAAACCCAACTATATTATTTGTTCCTCTTTTGTCTCAGTATTAACATTCTCAGGGAGCAATAAATAGGTTTCCTTACCCATGGATTTAAAGATGCTTTTATTTTGAATAAAATTTGGAGGTTTAATGAAACTCAAGGTTTAGGGCCAGAACAATCCTCATGGGTTTTTTATTTGTTTGTTTGTAAATAAAACAATTTTTTAGTAACTTACCAGGGCACTTAACCACTGAGGCATACCCTCAGCCCTTTTTAAAAATTTTTTTTTAGAGACAGGATCTCACTAAGTTGCTTAGGGCCTCCCTAATTTGCTGAGGCAGGCTTATGAAGTGGAGATCCTCCTGCTTCAGCCTCCCAAGCCACTGGGATTCCAGGTGTGCACCACCATGTCAAGGGAGTCCTTGTTTTGACTAGGAGCTGGGTTAGATGTGTCTCAATAGCAGCTGAGCTCCTCTATGTGAATACCATACTAAGTCCTTTAGCTCCTCTTCCAACACACCTGTAAGGTTAGAACCATTAAACGCATTTTACTACCAAGAGAGTTGAAGGGTAGAGAAGGTGCATAACACACCCAAGCTGGCAGGTGGCAAAATTGGAGCCAGGCAATCCTGCTTGTGATCCTTGGATCTAAAACTGCTACTCCGCTGTGAAGTGCATCACATCCATTCTATAATTTGAGTGGGAAACAGTCTGATAATGACTGAGAGAGACAGAGAAGGAGTCAGCTCTTCTGCCCACCTTTTGTAGGAGTGAAGTTTGACAATGGAAATCCCCAGACTGAGCAACAGGACCCAGCTCTAAGCCAAACTCCTCCTATACTGTGTAGCTTCTGTGAGGTCCAGAGCCAGCATCTGATCACCTGAAAGGCACCTTGCAAATAAACATTCTTCCAGGAAGCTCAATAGCTTCAGAAAGTGAATTTAGCTTTTCAAAATATCAGATGGAATACTAGCCAGCTATACATTCTGATTGGGAGGATCTGGCTCAGTCCAGATAACAGAGAGCATAAAAGACCACGACACACATTATCCAAAACTTGAATGAGGGAAGAAATTGGTTTTTTTTTGTTTTGCTTTAGGAAATTCCTTTCCAAAATGATTGTTAACACATCTGTCTAAATGTCTGATGTGATGCTTTCTCTGCCTCCCAGGAGTGAATGCTGCGGCTCGCAACGCGGCCGTGTTAGTGAAGCCAAACGTAATTATTAGCATGGATGGAGACAAGGTGAAGATGCGAACAGAAAGCTCTTTCAAGAACACCGAGATCTCCTTCAAACTGGGGGAAGAATTTGATGAAACTACTGCAGACGACCGAAATGTCAAGGTCGGTCAGAACTAAATCTTCCCAGTATTCAGCTGTCAGAAACAAACCTGGGGTGGCGAGGCGTGGTCTGTGCTATGTAATTTGACTTATGATCAAGTTGGTTTGGGCATGTTTTGTTATATCTATCTGCACATCTCCAAAGTCATTCCTTTTGCTAATGACTCTGAGGACTGAGTGAAGCTAAAAAAAAAAAAAAAAATCAATTTACTCTCACTTTTTTTTTCCTGATCTCACTTAGTCATTATATGAAAGATCAGATAGAAGGGAGAAATTAGGCACAAATAGTTTAGGAATTATTTGCCTAGAAGAGAAAATTAATTAAAAGGGTCTCTCAAACCTTCTAGTTCGACAGTATTCAATTATGACAAGAACTAATGTGAGGATTTTGAAGAACAGAATTTAAAAATACAGATAGAAAGATGGATATCTAGTCCTGTGTCAGATAGAACACAGTGAATTCTACTTCTAACAGATTTTCTTATACATTTATAGAGCATCGTAACATTAGACAGTGGCTCAATGGTTCACGTCCAAAAATGGCTCGACAAAGAGACAACAATCAAAAGAAAAATTGTAGATGGAAAAATGGTGGCGGTGAGTTGTTTTTTTTCTAAATTTAAATTCTTATGTCTCTTGTTTGATACATGCTTGTCAAGCTATCCTTTGGTTTATGCACCCTGCATTGAGAGTCTGGCCTGGGGAAAAAGGAGCAGAACAATCTGTCACCTCCCAAGTTTAATCATTCCTTTTTGCTTTTAGGAATGTACCATGAATAACATTGTCAGCACTCGAACCTATGAAAAGGTGTGAAGAAAAAAAGTCCACATCAAGGAGCACTAGTCCACCAAGAGGAAACTGGTACTTGAAGAAAATATGCCCCAAGGCCTGTAATTTTTTAATAATCTAGTATAAGCTTGCTCAATAAAAGCATCAAAGTAAGTACAGTTTGGGAGCTGTTTGATGATGAGGGTTAGGGAAAGTCTGATGAATCTGGGAAACAAGAAGATACTGGCCTATAGTGTGACTCTAACAGCTTTAAAGTCTCCTTTGCCCTGTGCCCACTTGATTTCCACAGTCCTGGACCCATTCTCACAATGCATCCCTTTCATTTTATCAAATCCATGTGGAAATTGATGTGACCACAAGGGGAGGTATATTATATCTTTGATACCTACTTTGGTCAGCTCAAATCAAAAACCAATATTGATCTTTTTTTTTCTTTCATTTTTACAAGGTCTGTCAATTGCTTGAGGAAGACAGGCAATCACAGCACTGTACACACAAAATCAAAGATGGATAGATTAGAAGATAGTGAGAGATAGATGATAGATACAGGAGTACAAAATAGATTTCACATACTGTGGTTGAGTTGTGACAGATGAGCATTTAAAACAGTCATTGACGCCCTTCTTCACAAATCCATTCATAATAATTAGGCTAGTGCATCTGTCACCCTGCTCACAGCTTAATCCTCGAAGAATAGAGTGTTATTAGATATCAGTTCTGAATTTCTGAATGTCTGGTGAAAATTTAATTGTTTGAACTCCACCATGTCCCCTGATAGTTTCACCAAATGCTGTTGTTAGATATGAGGGCTCTCAGAACTCAGAGCAAAACACAGTGATGGGGGTAAATGAAAGAATAAAGCTTAGAAAACTCAGCCCATCTGTAGCAGTGGGAGGAGAAAAAGAAGAAAGTGGAGAAATTATGTAGATAATCACGTTGTGCCTTAAATTTAAAAATGGGCAATCCTTGGTCAAACCTAAGTCCTAATGTAGCACAGAGTGTGATTCGGTGAGTTCTTTGACAAATTTAAAGAATAAAATCCATGGACATGTAGCAGGATTTGTTGAAGTAATAGAAAGAAGAGCTTCTGAAGGGCAGGGTTTGCCAGAGAATGGCTACTGGAGGTCTGGATCCTAAGCAACCAGTACCTCACTATCAGTTAGTTTTTCTGCTAGCACAGGAATCAAGCTGACCTTGAGGATGTCTGGCTTGTGCTTGTAGTTTCTCAGCCTTGCTCTACAGAGACCTGACCTGGAAGAGGCCCGGATTTCTTTTTTGCCTCTTTTAACACTTTCTCCTGCCTTACTAAGAGTCATACTTATATACGCCAGAGTAGAATGAATGCCCATGCACTTTGTCATCTAAACTGGGTGAGAATTAAAAGTGACAAAGGGGCACTGTTAAGGACTTAACCATAAATACAGACTGCCCTAGGCAAACTGAGGGGCATGGTCAACTTAGGAAGGAAATTGAAGAGTAATGAACAACAGGACTACAGCTTGGGGCTGGGCTGTGAACTGATTCCCTGTCTAAGGGTAGGAACCACCTGGGCTGTCATCTTAAACCTGAAGATCTCCGAGCATCTGGCTCTACACCAGAGTGGTAGCCCTGGTTCTGGCCAGGTAGCCACCAGGGGGGAACGATGACATTTATCCCCATATGACATGTCCTTCTGTTTCTTAAAGGACTCAGGTATATACAAAACATGACCACGTGTGTCTCCAGAGGTTAAAGAGGCTTTCTCCCCCTGATGGTGTCCTGGGAAAAGGGGAGCAGGGCAACCCCTCCTCAAACAGCCTCCATAGTGAGCTGGAGACCACAGCTGCTTTAGGGACACCTCAGAGCAGGAGCCAGAGCGTTTCCTACAATCATAAGGAAGAAGAGATGCCATTCAAATCTGTGTCTTTACAGAAGCATGATTCAAAAAAGAATAATGAAGTTCTCAATTTTTGAAACATTTCTCTTCTCACAAACATCACCACTCCAAGTACAAAGAGCCTGAATGAAAAATAAGACCCTGGTGTTGAGTATGTTATACGCAGCATCCAATGTACTACTCTTTAGGAATCATTCACTCATTCATCCAAGTTCTTCCTTGGTGACCCCTGTGTCTGACATTCTTAGGTGCTGGCAAGTAGCGCCAAGTTAGTCATGAAGGTCAAAATGCATTTTCTTTTCTTTTTTTTTTTTTTTTTTAAGGTACTGGGTGCCTTTTCCACTGATCAAAATGGACACTGACTTATTTCCCAGGGTTGTGGCAAGGGTGAAGGAGATTGTCTAAAAAGGACCAGCACAAGTATTGCAGTTTTCCTGAGCCCTCTTCTCAGAAGACAAAGCAGTTAGAATGGGAAGAGTGGGAACAACATAATTGGTGGGGATGTTTACCAAAACAGTGAGCAGAGGAAGAAGAGGGAAGAGTCTCAGCAGGGTTTAGCTTAAGGCAAAGGCTTGAAGCAACCAATTAGAAATCAGCTTTCAGGAAAATGGATTATGGTTTACTTTGTAAATCAGAATTCAGATTTCTTGGTTACTTATTAAAAATAAAAACTTTCAATAAGTAAGTTACAAAGCAACTTCACAAGTTATCTTTCTTGATCCTCAAATAAATTTGTGTTTTAACAGATGATAAAAACAGATGATAGCATCCCAAATGCTACCCATTTAGCAAATAATAAAGCTAGGTGAGAACTTAATACAAATTCACTATAGCATTTCATCTTTTTACATTAAAAAATAATGACATGGGGACTGGGGATGTGGCTCAGTGGTAGAGTGCTTACCTAGCATGCAAGAGCCTCTGGGTTCAATCCCCAAAACTACAAAAGCAGACATGAGAAAAGAAACAAAGAATGTCACAACTCTGTGAATTATGATTTGAATGCCAATAAGATAGATGATTAATTGCCCCTTGGAAACCTGAGGTTGCCCTTCCCTAGCATTGAGTTACTCCTTAGAACAGCCTATAATCAAGGTGTGGCACTGCTCAGTGCATTGGGTTTTATGACTACTTCTTTGCATGCAATCTGAGTGGAATTGATATGTGCCACTTCTGAGTCAAGACGGTGAAGAATCAAATCCATACCTGTCTGCTAGCAGGTAGACTGTGAAACTCTGGGGTATGGTATAGGAGAAGGGATCCAAGACCTCTGAAGGACCTCATAGCTCCATACACTAGGAGCCCCTACACTGGACTGGGACATCAAACAAGAACATCTGGGTCAAGCCACTGGAATGTTGGAGTTTATTGCAGCAGCTAGTGTTGAAATAAAATTTAAGAGATTTCATTGTGTATCGTGTCACAAGCCTGTTATTGGCTGAAATGTAACTACAAATCTAGCTTTCAGTTGTTTAAAGGAATAAAGGTTGGGTTGGTTGGATAAAAGAAACCACAGTTTAAACATGAATTTAGCTGATTCTCTGATCTAACTTTACCTAACATGAATTTAGTTGATTGTCTGATCTAGTTTTACCTGAAATCTCTTGCTCTGGAAAAGACTATAAGTAAGTTAAACATTCTCTCACAGTATCTCAGTTGTGTAAAACATTTTGTAAAGTACAATCAAGGAAATAAACAAGGTAGGCTGCCTGGATAACACATAATTTAAAGAATACTCAAACGTCTATCAGTTTTTATTGATTCCTTATGAAATCACACTACACACACACACACACCACACACACACATATCACACACACACACACATACACACTTTTCATTATGTTTTGTAAGTGAATAATTTTTAAGGAATTATTTTCTTCTATCAGCAGTATTACTTTCTGTCCTAGAGAAATGCAAAGGGAATAGAAAAACTGTGGGAGGCCCAATGCATACTACAATGACCAGAGAAAGAAACTGAAATGCATAAATCAGTGAGAAACTTCAGTACTCAGATGTACTATTAGTACTCAGACTAGCCTTTGGAAAAAAAGACCATACATGTTAGCTTCTAATAAAAAGCCAAGCTAATTGCATTATTTGGAGGAATCACAAACTACTTCTTCATTCTCTTTATTGCTATTCAACACAAGAAAAGCTATTAACTACCTTTGGGGCAGAATAAATGCAATCATCACCATAGTAACCAAAAGTCTAACTATCCAGGGGTAGCTGAGGAAGTCACAGGAATGATTTGCTCTAAGAAAGCAATTTTAATCTTTAAACATGGATAAAACATTTATTTGAAACCTGACAGAGGAGTTTAGGGATATCCAGAGCAAAATGGAATCTGCAAGGGCACCAGATACCTTCCTGAATTCTGACCGTAAATCTGGCTATCAGCTCTTGACTAAAACCACAAGTTTTATTAATGTTCCTTTTGTTGTTGTTGTTGTTGTTTGTATTGGGGATTGAACCCAGAGGTACTTAACCACTGAACCACATCCCCAGACCTTTTCATTTTTTGTTTTGAGACACGGTCTCACTAAGTTACCTAGGGCCTGGCTAAATTGCTGGGACTAGCTTTGAATTTGCAGTCCTTCCCTGGGCCTCCCAAGCCTCTGGGATTACAGGCATGTGACATTGTGCCAGACTATTAATGTGCCCTTTTTTTTATTTCTATAATCAGTAACTTTTGCCTTCTCTATTTTTAATCCATCTTGCAAAGACCTTATCAATTTTATTAGTCTTTAAAATGTTTTTGGGTTTGTAAATGTTTTCTATTCTATATTCTTATTTTATTAACATTTGTTCTGTGGGTCATCTATTTCTACTATCGATTGTTTCTTTTGCTTTTTGACCATATTTTATTTTCTTTTAAGAGATTTATTTTTTTATTAGCCTTGCATACAAAAAATTATATAGATAAATTTAGACCTGGGGTGACATTCTTTTTTCAGAGAGGTTTTAATTAGTTTTTTCTAGTATCTATGTTCTCTGTCTCCAATCACATAAATCTAATTTTAATAACTGAATCGATACCAACACAGTTTATTTTCAGATCATTCTTACAATGTCATAGCTCTTCAAAGTTTCAAGCCCTAAATATGATGGTTAGCCAGAACTCTCCCTTACTGTAACATCGTCACAAATGTTCCTCAGATTTTGCCTGTCACCTGGATATTACAAATTCATAGATCCCTGGAGAAGCAGCAGCCCCAAATACTGTATTTACCCCTCTGGATTTTCCTTTCTGTCCTAATCCTAGACTCAATTTTTCTCTTTTTGTCTCTCTTGTGCCATGGAGAATTTTCCTTTTAACTTTGTCCCTCTTGATGTCGCAGTTGGAAAGTTTTTTTGTTTATTTGTTTGTCTTGTGATACTTCAGACTGAACCCAGCAGTGCTCTATTACTGAGTTATATCCCCAGTCCTTTCTTATTTTTTATTTATTAAAAAAATTTTGGGGGGAGGGTACTGGGGATTGACTCAGGGGTACTCAACCACCAAACCATATCCCCAGCCCTATTTTTTATATTTTATTTAGAGACAGTTGCTTAGTACCTCACCATTGCTGAGGCTGGCTTTGAACTTGTGATTCTCCTGCCTCAGCCTGCCAAGTCACCAAGATTATAGGCATGCACCACCACACTCAGCTCTTAATTTTTATTTTGAGACAGGGTCTCACTAAGTTGCCTAGGCTCACCTTGAACTTGTGTTCCTCCTGCCTCAGCCTCCTGAGAAGCACACACCACCATACCTGGTAAAAAATTAGTTTAATGTCCTCATCTCTCATCTATGAAAGTGAAAGTTCCAAGCCTATGTTTATTATATTCTCAATTGTTTAAAAAATAATTATTCCTTCTAGTACTATATGATGTGCATTTTTGTCAACAACTATTATCATGGTATTTCTCTTTAATAGTAATTTTAAATTCACTAAAATTAAAATGTCTGACCTCAAGCCTTGATGGAATCATGATTGTAATGTAAATTCCACAAGGGCAAGAAATTTTGTTCAATGGGATTTAACCAGCACCTCAAACAGTGGATGGCATTTAGTAGGCTTTCAGTAAATAATTTTGCACTTAAATGAATGACCAAAAAAAAAATGGAGTTGGTTCTTTGGCATCCAAGTGAAAGATTATGAATTCTTTGTTTATTTGCTACATGATGATTGGTCTTATCTCTTTCCCAAATATACAATTTGATGTAGCTTGAAAACTGCAATTAAGGGACATTTCTATGACATGTTATGTAGAGCAAGTTTTTCTTATCATTTTCTTTGGATCTCTGGTTGTCTTTTTCAGAGTATGAGTTAAATAACTCCACTGATTAGAATTTGCATGGGCAATAAGTTACAGAAAGGAAGAGGAGTGAATCCACACTGTAGATAAAATATATCTCTCTTACTAACATTTCTAGCCTAAATGCATGCCTCTGTTACCAAACAGTTCTGGAGTTTAGTATGCCTCTTTTCCTGCTAGGATATGATGCCTTTCCATGGGTTGTCTGGATCTTCCCTCATTGCTTTGATCAGTACCTTTGACCCACACATTGACCTCTAAATTCCGTCTTAGTCCAAACTCATCTGGTCAATCCGAGCAGTCAGATCCAGTTGCCAATAGCCTAAAGTAGAAAATCGTTTTCTTGGTCTAAAATTAATTCAGTTTTATAATATTTCTGCCTTGCCAATAGATGGTTCGATGTGTGTTTTAAACTCCACCGTCATTCCTATGCGCCAGTCAAGGACTACTGAGAATTCAGCTCTCCTATTGTTCTACCTCTGAATACAGGGCCCAGCTCCAGGGCGAAGATTTAGAGTCCTTCATTGATGTAGGCAGGAAACCTAAATGCTAAATATTGCATTTCTTTTTCAGTCATCTGTTGAGACTCAAGTAATTATTTTACCATTTCTATACAACTTTTATGTACAGCATCACTTTCTGTAGTTGTGGTTATAGCACAATACACTTCTTAATAGAGTGGAGCTGACAAAAATTGTTGGAAGTAAAAGTGTTACTATCATTTTTATAGTGGTCTGGAAAAGAAAGCAATGTGTCCATGAAACAAAAGCCCTTTCTTCATGCTGGGTTTTCTTTTTCTTCCCATCCCAATCCAATGTCCTCCCTCCAATCACATTCCTTGGGTCCAGGGTCCAGTCATTGGGTTATCTGAGGAATTTTCCTGTTCACTACTTTTTTTCCCACTTTCCTCCCCAGGGACTGGTAATGTGGCAGACTTGTGCCCACTCTAGATGATTCCACATTTTTATCTTCATTCAGCTTGAAACCAGACCACAAAACTGCAATAGTTAGGGCACAGCTATAGTACCCAGTTACCTGAGACTTTGAAGCCAAGGATTCTGCCTGCCCTGAGTAAATTCACCATGTGATATTTTCATTGTTGTGAAGGGTGCCAACTTATGAACTAAATTTATAAGACCTGGTATTGTTAGTTTTCTCATAGTCAAAATTGGTGCTAACAAGGAAAAGCTGTTAGGAAAGACACAACAGCAAGTAGGCCTCCCCACGAGTACCAGTATGTTCCACGTGGATTTTCATTTGTTCCCCTGGTCAAAGATGGGGCTCTGCAGTATCATAATCATCTGATTCTCTTGGTTGGCACCTCTTCTGATTTTTGAAAAGAGAATGAGGGCCTTTAGGCAATTGTGGCAATGTCTGTATTACTGGATCTTTGGTCAGACCCTGTATGCAGGGATGGGGTAAGAGAATCAACCAGAGTGGAGGTAGTGGAGAATGATGCTCTGTCCAAATCCTGCCTCTTCTTATATGAGTCTTGGACGCAATTTTTAACTTCTCTGAGCTCCAGTCTTCCTCACTGGGAAAATGGATGCATCAACAATACCTAACTCTTACGGTGCTGACAGGATTAAATGAGACAATCTGTATTAAGTGCTTAGCTCGGTGACTGGCCCACAGTGCACTCTCAATATCCATTACTATTATTATTATAGAAAAATCCACTTTATAAAACTGCAGATTTATTTTCAATGACTCAAAGTTGTCATGGCAATTAGGAACCTGCTTAATTGGCACTTAAGCTTTTTTAGATGAAAATCTTAGCTGCGGTCAAAGAGCATGTCACAGTGCAACTTCTTGTCCTATTACATGAATACAATTTCTGTACTCCACTGTGCTGCACGGCCCTCATTGTCTGCCCACTCTGCCTGCCTGGGATGTCTATGTGAACTATGCCAAGCCTCCCTCACCTCTGAATGCTTCCTCACACTGCTCCCCTGCGTTTCTCTCCCACAACATATTTGAGACTCGTATCACAGTACTCATGAACATTTTCTTCTCTTTCTTCCCTTTCAATAAGAATTCTTAATTGTGCAAACTCAGCATCAAGAGTGACTAAGATGCCTAAACAGCATGCACACACACACACACACACACACACACACACACACATCCATTTGCAGTCGTAGCCTCTGCGGAGTCCTTTCTGAAGCATTAAAAGACTGTAAAAATGTAAGATGATTTATCAATGTGAGACCAGCCAAAAATTTCTTGAAGGCTCAAATAGAACTCTCATTCATTTTTAGACATTTTTTTTTCTTGGAAACAATAGGAAACATTATGTAGGTTTGGTCTTCCTAGGATGGATGGGCAGCTGGTGATTGAAGAGCCATTCATCGACAGTCCTGACACTGCCTCTCCCCATTGGGTCTCTGTGAGAGTCACATGCTCTGGATATCTTTGAAAAGAATCTTCTGAGGCCTCCGCGTCTCATCTCAGTCTCCTGAATCCTACCAAGAACTGTGTTCAACTCTCAGTCGTCACCATGAGCAACAAATTCTTGGGCACCTGGAAACTTGTCTCCAGTGAGCACTTTGATGACTACATGAAGGCTCTAGGTAAGAAATGCTCCTTGTTCTGGCTGCAGAGATCCTTTTTAGGAAAACTGCCTAGTATTTCCTTCTGACTTTGTTTCTAGGAGTCTGGGGACGTTTACACAGGCTGAAGTACAGTCCTGGGATTAATCTTATGTCATTCAGATAATGTACTTGTGTTTTATCCGTGCCAGTTGTACTAGAACTGAATTTAAACTACTGAAATGCATGGAACTCACACTGATCCAAAGGCAGTTTCATACCAATAAGGTTTTCATTGGAAACCTGGAAGAAAGACATTTTAGAAGCTTAGTCAACCTATTCACTGATTTTTATGATAACTTTTTTTAAAATAGCAACTAAGGTACATGTAAAATAAGGAGTTGAATGATAGAAAACCTCCATTCAAGCTGGGTGCATGGCTATAATCCCAGCTACTTGGGAGGCTGAGGCAGGAGGATCACAAATTTGAGGCTAGCCTGGTCAACTCAGAGAGACTCAATCTTAAAAAAATTTGTAAAGGCCTGGGTATATAGTGGTAGAACAATTGTCTACTGTGCACAAGGCTCTGGGTTCAATCCCCAGCATTAAAAACAAAACAGAAAAAAATCTCAGTTTAAAATTTCGGTATTGAGGCAAACTAAAAATTTTTTCTATTTCTGTCCATTATTACAGAATCATGTAGGATGTTCATGGCCTAGTTCAGGTGCTGAGAGGAAAAAGAAACCAGGTTTGTGGTAGTGAATTCAAACTCTGTTACCCAAACATCAGACTTTCCTGATGTTGGAGCAGAAGATGGAAATAAAAAAATCAGCCTTGGTTACAACTGTACTTCATACCATTTCTAGAGAATGTTCCAGAAACACAATAGATAAGAAGAATCTTTGGGAATTTCCAGAATTGTGTAAATATAGTAAAGAATGATGGTGATAACATCAGGTTGCCATGTTTGTCAAAGTGCCTGTAGCTTTGTTTACCTTTTGGAAGTTCATGTATACACTTCTAATTTTAGATAAATGAACAAAAGCCTAGTAAACTTTGAGAAATTACGGGTATGGGTCCATATTGTGAGACTGGTTAGATTTATGGACTTAACTTCATAGCTGAAGGAAAAGGAAAATTCAAGAAGGTCTCAACAAGGAACTTTCTAATTTCATTGTTTTCAAATTACAGAATGCACAAGATCCCTTGAGGGGGCTTGGTAAATGTAGACTCACAGGCTCTGAAGATTATAGTTTGAAAAACTTGGTTTTCAATCACACAAAATAATGAAAGTTTAATCAGAATTAGAAGAAAGAATACCGTCCATATTTATTAGCTACAACTTTTCACTTCTTATTTAGTATAGATAGAGATAAACAAGTTGTTTTCAGTGTGGAAAAATAAAGAATTTTGGCTTCCAACTGGAGTCTTAGAAAACTATATTTCTTTTCATTTATTTCTTGTATGACATTTCTTCTTTTCCATGTATTTGATAGCGACGGCAATAAGGCTTGAGCCCAATTTTGTTTAGTTTTTCAAATGTAGAAAAGTTTTGAAAAAATCTTTTCATTCATCTCTGGCTATTTGTAACCATACAGATTTTGAAGGTAGGTGGCTATTTTTTCTGACCAGCTAGACTTAGGAGCCACAAAATTTCAGAAATGAGGATATCAAGGATATGATGGTAATTCTTCTCTATAGCCATAGTATATTATTAATGGGGAAAATATCACAGAACTGCTGTGTATAGCACAATCTCATTAAAATTGTACATATACTATTTTTTTTTTGGAGCTACTAAACATCTTCAGTGTTTCACACAAATCCCTAATTACTGACTTACAGTGGAGAGTAGGATTAGGGCAAAAGTAGACAATGTGCACTCTTTCCCCTGGACATGTTTACTTTTTTAAATCTACAGGCATCAATTAAACTTACTTTTTAAATATTTATTTGTAATAATAAACCCTAAAATATATGTGTAGCAGACTCTTATTTTTACTGGGTGGGGAAACATGGGAGGAGGCCCTTAGTAGTAAGTGGGCCTACCTGCCTACCTATACATATAACAGACAATGAGCACTGGACAGGTCACCCTAGCCTCCCCAGGTGCGCTCTTTGTCAACACAATGTTATAACACTACCTTGGTTTTCAGGTGTGGGGCTAGCCACCAGGAAACTGGGAAATCTGGCCAAACCCAGTGTGATCATCAGCAAGAAAGGGGACTATATTACTATACGAACTGAAAGTGCTTTTAAAAACACAGAGATCACCTTCAAGCTGGGCCAGGAATTTGAAGAAACCACAGCTGACAATAGGAAAACCAAGGTAATCTTTAACATTTTTCTTTACTGTTGGTTCAAGCAACTGCTTGAGAGAGAGAAGGTTATGCTGCTAGTATTTAACAGAGTTGAAATGATCATGCTTCTCGAGACATCTGCTATGAAATGGTTCAGGACTGAATGAATGGCTTCTTGGATCAGCTTAAGTCCAGCAAGTCAGTGACATGCAGTTGTGTTTGCAGAGCATTGTAACCCTGGAGAGAGGCTCACTGAATCAAGTACAGAAATGGGACGGCAAAGAGACCACCATAAAGAGAAAGGTGGTAGACGGAAAACTGGTAATGGTAAGAGTATTTCTAATTCTAAATCCCAAAGTAATGCTATATAAATAAGAGGGTTGTACTGTTTTCAAAATGTTCTTTGTTCTTTTGGAATACAAAGGACAAAATGGCAAAAAATAAAGTCAAGATTAATGCTTGACTGATATTTAAATCATAAAAGACTCATCTGCAAAAACTGGATCCAGATTTTAGAAATAACAAAGTTGATTTGTTATTTTTAGAAATAATAATATCTACAAAGTGAGAGTAAAATTCAAGAAAGTATGAATAAATCTCTTACTGGTTTGAACTCTAAAATACATGTCTAAACTTTAATAGCAAAATGCATCCTGAAAGGCTCAATTGTAGAATATTTGTAGACACCTAAGCATTCTGCTTCCATGAATCTATAGTAACATACACCGAACCATGTTATCAGGCAAGCTGAGCTCCAGGGAGACCTCTTCTTAGTAGATGAGATTGATGACAAAGGTTACCTGAGATATTTACCTCTGCTGATTTTTTTAAGGTTAAGGCTCCATGCTTAATAATTAACAAATAGAACAAATGTAAACTGTTAGGAATGTTACTTTTAAGAGGTACTTAGCCCTTGCTGCACAATAGATTAACATAGGGGTATATTCCAAAATGGGGGCCCAAGATGGATCAATTGAATGCAGATCTCCTAGGGTGGGATCAGTATGTTTAAATATTCTCCAGATAGTGTAAATCATTTTGAAAACCACTCTTTTAGAATATTTAAGTGCATACAAATAATGCAAAAACCTTGCCACTTTAAAAAATTCCTTTACAGTAAAAGATCAACTTTAAAACGATTTCTCTAGTTTCAGTGGTCATCATCCTAAATTACTGGATATTAGCATACTGGGAGATTTTATTTCTTTCTAAATTTCATCTTATATGTTTATTTTGAATTTCTACTCTTATCATAAATTTGTTGTTCTCTGTCTTGAGTTTTAGATAATTAATCTTTTTTTTCTTTTCTTAAGGAATGTATGATGAAGGGCGTGGTGTGCACCAGAATTTACGAGAAGGTCTGAGAAAAACATTGACCCACTGAGTGGTATTTAGTCACTTAATATTGGAAATAAATTGCTTCCATTGGCAAGACCCAACTACTCTCCAGTTTGCTTTTGGGTTTGAATTTTTTTGTTTTTGTTTTCGTTTTTGTTTTGTTTGGGTTTTTGTCTTCACATGCCAGATTGACAAAGCCCTTAACTGAGTCTTAATCTAAAAACCACTGCTATTTAAATATTTTCAGTTTGTGTACATGTCCTTATCATATTAACTCATCTATGTTTGGCCAGACTTAAATAATTGCTAATGTCATTAATTTCTAAGAAATTATAATCTATGGTGTTCTGATTATTTAAAATAATGATTAAAAAGAAGTAATGGGATAGTAAAAGGATGTAAAAGTTTACTGATGGGGGTAGCAAACTCAAACGCCTTCTGGGACCAGAGAGTTATAAGCCCATAAGGAAGCCACAAAGAAGCAATTCAGAAAGAGCAGTTTTAAATGAAGGAGTCCTAGTTTCAACTAAAAGGAGCAACCTTAACTTCAACCAGTTTTTTTTAAAAATTAAGGGCTAGTTTATAGGCAGTGAAAGGCACAGATACTGAGGACAGAGTTGAATGCATTGTGACAGATGCAAGCACTCATATAACTCTCATCTAAACCAAGATACAAAACATTTCCTTAATCCCAGAAAGTTTTCTCAATCCCCTTCCCAGGCAATGCCCTGCCCTGTCCCATCCCTACCGAAAGCAAGTACAGTAGTGATTTGGTTCTATCACCATAAGTTAGTTTTGTGTGTTCCTATATATGGAACCATAGTGTTTTCTGTTTGCCCATTTAAACTTAGTATTCTTTAAAATTCATCCCTATCGTTGCATGTAATAGTGGTTTGATCCTTTTGTTCCAAATACTATTCCATTGTATGATTATGTCGTTTTATCTGTTTATCCTTCAGTTAATACAATTAGGCTGTTACCAATTTTTGGCTACTGTGAGTAAAGCTGCTACATTCTTGTACAAGACTTTTTGTGGACATATATGTTCTGTCCTTTGGATAAATAAATATTCATAGAGTTATTGAGTCTGGTAATTTTTGACAGGCAAGAATGGGGACCACTGTGCCCAAGTATGAATGAAACTGTATTATATGACTGAGTAAATGAGAAAATGCATTGATGTTGGTAAGAAACAGGATGTTCATTGAGGAAGAAGGCACATATAAGTATGTAATGAGGGAAGAAAAGAAGGAACCATGTAGGAATATAATGGATCTATGTAAACTCATGGTTTCTAAACCATGAATATGTTATATGGTGTTAGTTAGCTTTTCATTGCTATGATAAAATACCTGAGAAAAACAAATTAAAGAAGGAAATATTTATTTTAACTCACAGTTTCAGAAGTTTCAGTTCAAGTCTGACTATTGTTTCTGGATCTGTGGTGAGGCAGAAAATCATAGTGAAAGGGGATGGCAGAGAAAATTTCTCACCTCATGGCAGGTAGGAAGTAGAAAGAAAGCAAGAAAGGGACCAGGGACAAGATATACTGTTCCAGGGCATACTCCCAGTGATCCATTTCCTCCAACTAGCCCCCACATTCCTAAGGTTTCTACCATCTATCAATAATGCCATCAAATTATGAATCCATCAATGGATTAATCCACTCATGAGAGCTGAGTCCATGATCCAATCACTTTCAAAAGGCCCACCTCTAAACATTGCTGCATTGGAGACAAAGTCTTCAACATATGAGCCTTTGAGGGATATTCCAGATCCAAACTATAACAGTGGGTATAAATAGAAATAATTCCATATACATATCTGCATGCATATGTGTGTGCAATGTACATATCTATTTATGTGTATACACATACATATACACATGCAGTTTTATCTGCCAAAAGAAGTTAGTAAAACGTCAGTAGGAATGAGCATGCTTAGGACTCAGATTTTGATGTCTGATATCATTCACAACTAAAGGAATCAATGTTCCTTGGAGAAATGGTTGATTCCAAAGCAAAGGCAGGGTAGGTACAAGATGAGCCTAAAATGTCTTTTTGCACTAGAAAATTTTTTAAATGCTCAGGTAAATAATAGAGGTATTATACTCAAATATGAAGGAACTCTAGTTGGCCAAATTTAGGACAATTTGAATGCAAAAATATAAGAAATCATAAATTGTAAACTATTAAGAAAAAAGTAGAACTCGTACATCCATAATGATAATAAAAGAGAGAGGGAGAAATGAAAAGATAGAACTCATACATCCATAATGATAATGAGAGAGAGAGAGAGCGAGAGAGAGAGAGAGAGAGAGAGAGAAATGAAAAGGAGGTATTTTCTTTACAGCAAAATGGCATGTGCTTCCTGGTAAATGTGGAAGAAGTTCTGGAACCAGAGAACCATCATTTTCCAAGCATCACAAAAAATATTGACTCAGGCAAAAATTATCATGGATGCTAAAGCTAGGGTGAAATTCTGGTGAGGAGCAGAGTATTAGCTTGGCCTTACAACATCTCCTTGCAAACTGTGAATTTCTTTCTTTCAAGGGGGAAAAAATAATAGTTCTAAGCAGTGAAAACATGGAACCCCTTGACTGGGTTACCAAAGCTAACTTCAACAATAAAGGGCAGATGAACAAGGTGTGCCTTCAAATATGATGTGTGGAGAAGGAGATAAGGTCATTTTTGTAGTGCTTTGGCCTGGAATCCATACCTGAATCTGAATATGATGAAATATCAGACAAATTCCAAAAGAGGAATGTTCTATCAAAAAAAGGGGGAGGGGTGCATGCAGGAGGGAGTTGACGGAATTCTTTTAAAAAAATGCTTGGACAAAGAAAGGATGTGGAAATATTCCAGATTAAATTATACTAAAAACATGTGACAACTATAACCAAAAAAAAAAAAATCTTAAAATGTTTCTTGTGCTAAAGGTAAAATGAATGCTCCAAAGGATAATATCAGATCTATTAGACCGTAGATGGGAAATTGGAATAAAAGTACATTGGCATGTAAAAGGGTACCTTCTTGGGAAACACATACTGATATAGTTTGGGGTCATGGGCCATGTGCATGCAGTTTACTCTCAAAAACTTCAAAAAAAACTTCAAAAAAAAAATCTATGTGTGTATGTTTGTGTGTGTGTACATGTACATATACATATACATAGAAAAAAATTGATAAAGCAAACGGGTAAAATTGAAGAGCTGAAGAATTTTCTTTGAATTAATATGATTCTTGCCACTTTTCTGTATATTTGAAAGTAGTTCCCTTTAAGGTTCCTAAAAGTTGGGGATGTAGTTCATCCTTGCATAGCGTGTGTGATGCCCTGGGTTTGATCCCACAGCATGGCATTTGGCAAGCATTTCCCTGCCTCTCATTTTTCTGTTGACTAGTGTCTGGATGTTATTTTTTGATTTCTGATTTGTTTTACAAAAATCACGAGTACTTTTTTACTTTCATAATAGGAAAAGTGAAGCACTGATAATGAGGAAAATAAAATAATCATTTAAGCAGGTAGTCCAAATTGCTAGATTTGAAAAGGATTTTTAAACAACCAGAAAAGAAACTGGGGGAACCTTAGGTCTTAGTCCATTTCTGCTGCTATAACAAAACACTATAACCTGGATGACTGATGCACAACAGAAATTTATTTTTCACAGTTCTGGCAACTGGGAAGTCCAAGATCAAGAAACTGGCAGATTTGCTGTCTGATAAGTGTCTTCCTCATTCCTAGATGATGTCTTCTGTCTCAAAATACTATAATTTAGGGTCTTGCTAAGTTGCTGAGGCTGGCCTTGAACTTGTGATCCCCTACCTCAGCTGAGTCACTGACATTACAAGCATATGCCCTCACACCCAGCTGGGGGAAATGCTTATGAGGATATTTAGAAGAGCTAAAGGAGGAAACTACTTGATTGGTTGAAGTGGGAAGTCCCTAAGTGGAGGTTAGTTGATGTTTTCTGACTGGTTACATTTAGGTTTTATTTTATTTTCCACTGAGTTGTGTTTTACTTTATTTAGGTAGGGATCCAGAACTCTGGAGCCATCTCAGCCTAATTACAATTACATTTTAAGTGATATTTAAAACAGGTGCATTATAGTTATACATAAGAGTGAAATTCACTGAGATATTCATACATGAACATGACATAGTTTGGATAATTTCATTATTCTGTTCCTCCTCTTTCCCATTCCTTCTCCTCCCCCTCATTATCTTTCCTTTACTTCACTGTTCTTCATTCTATTTTTATGAAATTTCTCCTTTTGATTTCTTATTTCTCTCTAGCTTCTATATATAAGAGATAATATTTGATCCTTGACTTTCTGCATCTGAGTTATTTCACTCAGCATGATGTTCTCCAGTTTCATCCATTTACTAGCAAATGACCTAATTTCAGTCTTCTCTATGGCTGAGTAAAACTTCATTGTGTATATATACAGCTTTTCCTTCATCCAGTTGTCTATTGAGAGATTCCATAATTTGATTATTGTAAATTGTGCTGCTACAAACATTGGTAGACATGCATCACTCTAGTATGCTGATTTTAATTCTTTTGGATAAATACCCAGGAGTGGGAGAGCTAGATAATATGGTAGTTCCATTCCTAGTCTTTTGAGAAATCTCCATACTGCTTTCCATAGTGGTTGTATTAATTTTCCAACCCCAAAATAATGTGTGAGTGTACCTTTTTCACCACAGCTCACCAGAATTTTTTTATTACTTTTAATTTTGATTATTACCATCCTAACTAGAGTAATATGAAATTTCAACATAGCTTCAATTTTCATTTCCCTGAATGTTAATAATGAATTTTCTGAGAAAGACATTAGGAAAACGCCAGGCATAGTGTACATTCCTGTTATACCAGTAGCTTCGGAGGCTGAGGCAGGAAGATTGCAAGTCCAAAGCCAGCCTCAGCAAAAGCAAGGTGCTAAGCAACTCAGTGATACCCTGCCTATAAATAAAATACAAAATAGGGCTGGGGATGTGGCTCAGTGGTCTAGTGCCCCTGAATTCAATCCCCAGTACCCCCACCCCCTGCAAAATAAATTAGGAAAACAATTCCATTCATAATATCCTCAAAAAATAAATACATAAAATACTTAGGAATAAATATAACCAAGGAGGTAAAAGAACTGTACAGTGAAATTATAGAAAAAAAATGAAGAAATAAATTGAAAAAGACCTTTATAAGATGGAAGATCTACCATGCTCTTGAATAGGCAGAATTAATATAGTCAATATGACCACAAAAAAAGCAATATACAGATTCAATGTAATCCTCACCAAAATACTAATGACATCCTTCATGGAACTAGAAAAAATCATAAAATTCATAAGGAAGGATAAAAGACCAAGAATAGCCAAAGCAACCACGAGCAATAAGAATGATGCTGAAGGCATCACAATATCTGATCTCAAACTATAGCACAGAGCTATAGCAACAAAAGCAGCATGGTATTGGCATAAAAACAGACATGAAGACCAATGGAATAGAAGACCAGAGTCAAATACATACAGATATCATCAGATCATTGATAAAGATGCCAAAAACATACATTGGAGAAAAGATAACATTTTTAACAAAAATGGGAAAACTGGATACATATGTAAAAAAAGTGAAACTATGTCCCTATTTCTCATCATGCACAAAAATAAACTCAAAGTGGATCAAAGACCAGATGCATTGCAATTGCTAGAAGAAAACATAGGATCAACACTCCAACATATTGGCACGGGCACCAACTACCTTAATAAGACTCCCTAAATTCAAGAAATAAAACCAAGAATTAATTAGTTGGGTGACTTCAAATTAAAAAGCTTCTGCATAGCAAAGGAAACAAGAGTGCAAAGAGGCAGCTACTTTTCTGACAGAAGATTAATAACCAGAATATATATAGAATTCAAAAAAAACCAATAACCCAATCAAAATAAACGAGCAAATGAACTAAACAGACATTTCTCAAACTAAAAAATGCAAAGTACCAACAATTATATGGAAAAAATTCAGTGTTCTT